CTCGGAGGCCAGGCCCCAGACTGAGGGGTTTTCAAGCTGCTCTCCCTTGTGTGGGGAGCGCTGCCCTCCGTGGTGTTCCTGCTCCCTCGGGCCTCCCCCCGCTGTCCCAGACCTCCATTCGCCTGCCCCTCAGGAGGCCCAGGGCCCTGACCTCCACAAAGTTCAAACACCTTCCCTCAGGCTCCTGGCCACACCCCTGGTTTGGGCCCATTGGTCCTAGCCCTGTGGACTCAGGTTACCATGAACTCATCCTTCCCCAGCTCCCGTGGCTCCAGTGTGCAGGCAGCAAAGGAGGTGGGAATGGGGGCGGCGCCAGGGACAAGGGTCAGGGCCAGTGGGGTGGGCCAAAAGGGGGGGTTCTTAAAAGCTGGAGGTGGCCCCTGTGTGACTGCCACACAGTACGATTGCCTCCACTAGTCTCCACCACCGGGCTCTGCCAGTGCTCGCTGTGCTGCAACGTGCCTTCTCCTTCTTGGGGCTTGGTGAGTCCCCAATCCTGAGGATCCGGGTGGGCCCCAGCACCTGGCAGCACCTGGTGCTCTCCTTCCACATTGCCCCAAGAGAGGAGGTGTTGGGATCTCTGGGGTCCTTGAAGGAATCTGGGGATCAGGTGGGATGGAAGCAACCAAATGCCATGGAACTAGGGAAGGGGAAGACAGAGGGGAGGCTCAGGCTTAAACACCCAAGTTCTCAGGCCCACCCCATCTTCCAGCCCAGGTGTCCTGGCAGCCTTGCTCCTTGTATTCCTAAACTGGAACTGGACCCTGGTAGTCTCCTATCAGGTCTGGTTCTACCGAGACAGGGCCAACGCCAGGGCTGGAGGCCACCACTCTGTCAGCAGCAGGGCGGTGTGGAGACATTTCCGTGACTGCTTCTCCATCTCGGTCAGGGCATGGGGCACAGGGCACAGGTGTGCTGGGTGGCGCTGGGGCTTCAGAATACACTCGGGCTCCTCATCAATGTCACGGGTGGGTTGGGGTGCCTGCACTCTGCTCCCCAGCTGGTCGAAATCGCAGAGCTGGATCCCTCCCAGAACT